ACACACATTTTTCGATATTTATTTTTATTCTAAAAGAGTAATAATCAACTGTCAAATATTTGTTAATAAGCTATTTTTTGTTTACGTGTTTGAAAAAAATTATACCTTTATTTATTTTAATAAAAAACAAATAAATAACATTGTTTGTACAAGATATATTTGTTTCTTAAAGTCACTAGAAAAACATTTCGTAACTACTGTAATTGTTTTCTTAAATAAATATGTAAATATTTATTCGGGCATTAATAACAATAAATGGAAAATACAAAACTCACAAAACGGTTGTCGAGGAAAAATATCAAAGCAAAAGCAAATAAGCGAAATTTGGAAAAACATGAATTTTTCATAGTAGTGAACTAAATAAAAACTCGTATGTGGAACGTTTTGAGTCTATATTTCTATACTGTTGCTGAATAATTTCACTACTTTATAAATAACGTCAATAATACTACTAGATATTTATTATTAATGTGTAAAATTTTACGAGTTAACTCGTCCATAAGCACTGAAAATTTCAGTTCAATTAGTTTAGTCTTGAAAGAATTTTGAAAATTAAATGCAGAAGACTTTTTTTAAGTCTTTAAAAAGCACAGAACATAAAAATACACTCAAAAATGCGTGTACTGTACTTGCTAAAAAGTTAATAATAACTCTTAACTGTAGTTCTCATTAATAATTTATTAAACTATTTACTTCATTTAGTAAGCTACTTAAGTGAGTTTAAATCAAAATTATTATTTAATATAGTTTTATTTTTCATAATTGGATTCTTTTCATATTGCATATAAATATCATTCAATGTTCTTCGTTTTTTAGAGAACAAATAGTTATTATGATAATGTTTCATCGTTATTGTTCATTTTAATAATATAATAGGCCCATATATAATCTTCATATTACAGTAATCAAATATGCAATACAACAATTATTATTAAAAAATTTCCACATATTCTCTTTCAAAATACGTTATATATACGTTTCAAAATATTTTCTATAAAAATTACTATTAACACTCTTCAAAACCTGAAACCAACTAAAGCATTCCCAAACAGACTTTATATTAGATATTGCATATATCGATATTCTCATTCCATTATATCAGTTATTATAATATTATTTGCCTAACTGATTACCTTTGTTTTGCTAAATCATAAGTATAACTTAAAGAATACTTCACGAAAAATATTGGAAATATCATTAGATTGAGAGAATATAAATTCCAGCAAGTCAAATAAATTGAATTTAGTGAATAACTTCAGAGTATATAGTAAGCGTAGATAAATATTAAATTATCATACTTAAATATAGGCTATATTATATGCAATATAGGCTAGATAAACAATTTATATAGAATCACACATTCGTATTCGTTTATACATTTAAAATAATATAATAGAAATTTACATGAAATTATGGTATCGTAAAAAAGATCAGACAAATCTTATAAATAAAATTCTCTCTCGAGTTTGGTGTAAGAAAGAAGGTCGTAAAGAGAGAGAGAGAAAGAGAGAGAAATAAGCTTAAAGTAATGGTTCAATTTAGAGAAAAAATAGCATCTTTGAAAACATTTCTAAAACACACTCATTCGGTAAAGAATGCAATGAAGTGTTTACTTATAACAAATATCTAGTTCTTCTTAAGCTTGTTAGTAGGGTTTAATCTAAATTTTAAATAGTTATTTTAAACAAACGAACATAAGCTTGTTTATTTTTATGCAAAGGTTCTTATTTTATATACAGTAGAGCGTCGATTTTCCCAAATCAATTGGGAAATGGGGTTGTTCTGAAGATCGATGTTTCGGATAACCGATTATGTACAAAAATATATTAATTTATCCCATCTTGACATTTTTCTCCGTTGCGTGTCGCTTCGCGTTGAATTTTCGTCGATGTTAAGCCTAACGAAGGCTATTGTATCGTTAAAAATTATTTTTTTATTTTGTACGAACAAAATAAATATATTGAAAAATATAAAAACAATAAAAATTATACTTCAGAAGTTAATTTAGTATCAAAAACGTAAAATATTTGAGTAGCCCGAGACATAGTCAAAGATTGCAGCGCCACAGCACTGGCGAAAATTTAAATTTGCCGACTGGAATTATTTCGGATGATTGACTTAAAAAAGCGTGATAATCGACGCTCTACTGTATTATATATTACTAGCTGTTACGCCCGGCTTCTCCCAGGTTTATAAAGTATCCCTCGCAGTAACTGTTACGCCTGGCGTAATTAAACGTAAATTTCAAAAATATATGTGGTAAAACCCATTTTAAGAACATTATCAGAATGCCTATAAACTACGTGGAAGCGTGTCCTCGTAAATAGTAAGTTTATAGATAAATGATTACAATTAGTTTGGTTTATTTGGTTACGGCTACGCGACACGTGAGCGACTGTCGAAGGGGATGACACCCAGGAAGAATTTTATGGAAAATTGGCCCTATTCAGGTGTTACTAACTTGAAGAAATCCTGGAAAACTACACGTGGCCAGCTCGTTGGCGATGTATGAACTACCAGTGTAACGGTTTCGACTTCACGCAGGTGAGTAATATGTGCTACTCATCAAAGTAATAATATAGTACGTTGCACGGGTATATGCTTGTAAATGACCGTGAAGGTTCTTTGTGGAAACTGTAAATTGAAATGGCACCTCTGAAGTTATTAGAGGTATCCTAGGAATAAATAATCAGCTGTAAGAAGGTAAATGGACTAACTACAGTATATCATTACTAACAAGACCTAAGAGACCGAAAATCTTTTAGAATATATAAAGTCTTCGGAAAATGGAATACGGATTGTGGAAAACTATTATTATAACAATCCAAACAATCAATTTTATAACGTAACAGCTAATTTGAGCTTAAACGACTAAATCAAGTAATTTTACTACATTTGTTTACATTCTGTCTCCAAAAACATAGCAGGGATGTGTTGCTTTGTTGTTCACATCCTTTTTTTGTATAAATTTTTTAATAACTGTTTTTTTAATTATTTTTATCAACAGACGGCGATACATGTAAAGCCAGCAATCTAATGTTGACAGATATTAATTGATATATAGAAATTCAATCAATATCTTATAGTAGTGTGTACGACATTGACTAAAAAGTACGTTCTGCGAGTTTCGTAGCAATTGGTCGAATGGCCTAAGTGTGCATAGCGAACAAACAAACAAACATACATTCTCATTTATAGGTATAGATAAATACAGCATAATCAAATATATAGGGAACAGATTATTACTTATAGTAATTAAATCATTTGAGATTAAAGTTAAAAGAATTTCTAAACAAAGACGATAACTAATTTGAAAATATTTTAAGAGTAAAAATTAAATTACGTGAAGTATAAATTTGTTCCAATTGAAACTATTCAATAGGGCTACTCAAATTTCATTGAACAAAAAATACAATTACGTAGGAGGATAAAATTAAATTACAAAAAACGTTACAGATTTTGTAACAATAATTTGTTAGTATAATTAATAGACTGTGAATATACTTTTAATAATTTATGTAACTTTATTAATTTTATTTAGTTATTAATAATCATTATTGCAGCTTATACGTAGTAGTTATACTCTTCTACTGTATCTTTCACAAAAACGTCATAACCACTATCAAGATCATGGATGGAAGAACTCATTTATGAATGACTAGTCTGTTAAAACATTCAAATATATTACTAAGAAATAAAACAAAGTTTTAATCAATCAGATTATTTATAATGTGAAAATATCTATGTTCATTACAAATTTTTATAATTATTATTTATCATAAAACGAATATAATTTTTTTCTAGTCATAAATTAATGAAATTTACGTCTCAATAACAGAACTGAAACAGAATATTTCGTATCTTTTGATTACAAAGTATTAGAGTAGAAAATTAAAATGAAAAAACTATTCCTTCTTGTTAAACATTGGCGTTTCCATTCTATTCACACTTAATTATATCAATAAGACTCAGAAAAAGACATAATTACATTAAACTATTCTTTTCTTTGGGCGTTTTCCATCTTAAAATAGAGAACTTTTATCGCTAACGACGATGTTCATTAATATGCACGTAAGTTATAGGAGGGGAAAAAGCTATTTTTTCCGCTATCTATAAATTTTTGTTCAAACATGAAAGATTTACATTAATCATACTTCGTATTTTTTTTAATATTAATCGATTCAAGTTAGACTTCTTTTTATGGTCTTTCAAATTATGTATTGAGTAAGTCATTTATGACTTTGGCATTTAAAATTTGATGGGTGATATATGAGATATGTGCATCGAACTGTAAGGTTACTAATTTAAAACAATAAAACTTATATCATATCATGAATATATTTGCTTTCATCATGTTTGAAATTTATTCCACAAACATTTAAAATTTAATGTATTTCTTAACATATGACATACTGAAATATATAAGAAATATAACTTAATATTACTATTAAGTTATTATATTTCTTTAATAAATNCTAGACATTTAAGATTGTCACCATTTAAATTAATTTTACATTAATTTCCATAATTAAGTTATTCTGTTACGAAATTATCGTGTTTTTTCAATATTTTCAGTATTAAATGAATTCATAACGATAGTAGTATCTTATGTTTGATAAATAAAAAATATTTTTTTATGTTTTAAGTATGATTTCAATTAAAAATAAACCAATAGCGAGTTGCTCAACTTTCCTGGCAACATTAAACTTATATCATATCATGAATATATTTGCTTTCATCATGTTTGAAATTTATTCCACAAACATTTAAAATTTAATGTATTTCTTAACATATGACATACTGAAATATATAAGAAATATAACTTAATATTACTATTAAGTTATTATATTTCTTTAATAAATAAGAATAGCAATATATTTTTATTAACACATAGATGCAAAGTTTTGGGTTTGTATTTATACTGAAATAAATACAAAACCATTACTTTTGAATAAAGAAGATATAAAATTATATTAAGCAATTTTAATTTCTATACTTACCTTTGTAATGATCTTGATTTTCAGCTGTACCTCGCATAATATCTAATAGTTGTTGTTCTAATGGAAAGCGTAGAGTATCCAAAGGGCTGGGAGTCAAACTATTCGATAATTGCCTATCCTGTAAATAACAAAATTTGAGAGTTAGATTATTTTTATAATTTAAGTAGATAACTAAATTACACATTTTAAAAAATCATATATTNTACTTCGTATTTTTTTTAATATTAATCGATTCAAGTTAGACTTCTTTTTATGGTCTTTCAAATTATGTATTGAGTAAGTCATTTATGACTTTGGCATTTAAAATTTGATGGGTGATATATGAGATATGTGCATCGAACTGTAAGGTTACTAATTTAAAACAATAAAACTTATATCATATCATGAATATATTTGCTTTCATCATGTTTGAAATTTATTCCACAAACATTTAAAATTTAATGTATTTCTTAACATATGACATACTGAAATATATAAGAAATATAACTTAATATTACTATTAAGTTATTATATTTCTTTAATAAATAAGAATAGCAATATATTTTTATTAACACATAGATGCAAAGTTTTGGGTTTGTATTTATACTGAAATAAATACAAAACCATTACTTTTGAATAAAGAAGATATAAAATTATATTAAGCAATTTTAATTTCTATACTTACCTTTGTAATGATCTTGATTTTCAGCTGTACCTCGCATAATATCTAATAGTTGTTGTTCTAATGGAAAGCGTAGAGTATCCAAAGGGCTGGGAGTCAAACTATTCGATAATTGCCTATCCTGTAAATAACAAAATTTGAGAGTTAGATTATTTTTATAATTTAAGTAGATAACTAAATTACACATTTTAAAAAATCATATATTTGTTGTAATTTTTAAATAAATTCAAATTTAAAAAATAATAATAATTCAAAAACCGAATTTAAGTCTTAAAGTTTTCTTATTAAAAGAGCATTATATTAACGTGAAAATAAGAAATATTTGTCATTTATTTAATTTTATTCATTAAATAAAATGTTTTCTAAAATCTTTTAAATGTATTTTAAAATTAAATTACTATAAATGAAAAATAATTAAATTAATTTACATTTTACAAATTCGAAAATAAATACGTCGTTTAAAAAAATTGTGATTTGTGATAATTAAAAATGTTATTCAAATTTAGGTTATTTAAACTGTACATTAAAATAATTAATAATAAACTAACGAAATATTTTGACTTTGGAATAATGTTATATTAAAACTCGTAGTGACAAAAATTTTTAAATATGCTTTTCTTTTCTTTTAGTTACAATTTCCTTAGAAGACGTCAAAATATAAGTTAAGTATATTCTGTTTCATTTATATTTGTAGTTATTTAATTGGTCTACAATTTTCAAAAATTGGAGACATAAATTCCTACTGACTGACGTCCGTCCTTCCTTAATCTCGAGAACAGAGTTAGATGGATAAAAGTCGAGACCAGATATAGAAAGCTTAGAGGCAGGAGGTCCCAATTAACCACAGTATATACGAACTACCAATTTGAAACGGAAGTCACGTTATTTCAATTCAGAAATTGTCTCCAAAATAGAATTAAATAAATGACCAGCATGATCCAATTGTTAACAGGAAAAGTATGATGTACAGGATGCAAAACACTACTAAAATTGAGAGCATTGTGACGAAAAATTGCAGCCCGGCATTGTGAAGATGTTACAATAAATAACAGTTCATTTGATATACTTTTAAGATTCGTTAGTATTTATTTTTTAAGAATTTAAACAAACTATAAGACATATTTCTAGACATTTAAGATTGTCACCATTTAAATTAATTTTACATTAATTTCCATAATTAAGTTATTCTGTTACGAAATTATCGTGTTTTTTCAATATTTTCAGTATTAAATGAATTCATAACGATAGTAGTATCTTATGTTTGATAAATAAAAAATATTTTTTATGTTTTAAGTATGATTTCAATTAAAAATAAACCAATAGCGAGTTGCTCAACTTTCCTGGCAACATTTAAAATTTTGGTGGTGCCATTTGTGTAAATATTGTGTAAACATTTGTGTAAATACTTTTCATCCACACCTAATAATACGTTTTTATGTCACGGAAGAACTGATAACGTAACTTTCTATTACTATTTCCCACACCAACTCTTTCTTACACTTTATGGCTCATTTCTATATATATTAAATCAACGGTGCTGAATCTAATGACAACAATGACTTTGATCTAAGATATCAAACATCACTGTTATTAAATAGATAAATTCGAAAATTTAAACTATAATTGTTCAGCGAATATAATTAAGTATAAAACAATTGATTTCTAATTGATTCGTAAACAAAAACTAAATAAAAATGGCAGTATTTTTCTTCAGTGATAAACAATTTATGTGAAATTTTCAAGCGTTTAAGCAAAGTACTTGCGGATTATGTTTGACAACACATCTAAAATAAACAATCAAAAGTTGAAATTTAATAAACAGCTATATTTTTATTTACAATCTTTTACATAATATGACACAAAACAATTTATCATTCTAATAAAGAAGAGTTAAAAATATGACACATTATGCATCCATGATACTTTTCGTTTATCACTTTGAAATAAGAGCTATAATTTATTCATAATTAGGCTTGTTCCGTTAATTTGAATTTCTTCCATACTTTCAATGATTAAATAATTATATCTGAAAAATAAATTAAAAGGAAAACAAATTTTCATTAATAAGTTAATAAATCTTTAGATTCGACATTTTTCTTTGTCTTTTAGAATTTGTAAATACATCCATGTCTAAGCTTGCGTTTCCCTAGATAATGTATTTCAGAAAGACTTTTGACACGTCTACGTAACAAAGATAATGTAAAAAGTAGCACAATCTATTTTTTTTTTTTTTGTTTGTTTTGTTTTATCGGATCTCTATATGTAACAAATTTGAAGCAAGTATTTTCTTTATCCTTTCAAGTGTGGCAGAGTTCCTATTAACCGAGGAAAATTGTAGAAGAGTACTTTGTCAACAAAGACATGAAAACACGGAATAGTGACCAGGCAGTGATACTCCAAAAACCAATACAATTTAAAAAGAATTTACTACGGTGACTTCTCACCACAATACGAATTTTAGAAAAGATTATGATTACACTTCTTAAACTTAAACCTTTTTCAATCTTATATTTCCTTTAATAAGTTGAATACAGTTGTAAATAAAATTAAAAATGTTTAATCATCTAATTTGAAGTAATTACATTCAATACGTAGATTAAATCTAATAATAGAGTAATCTACAGGGTAATCCATTCAGATGTCATAAAATTAAAAATGTGTAGAACATAAAGTAATACAATTAGAGGTTACTAACATGTGTTAAAATATTATCGGTTTCGAGGTAGTGCATGCTCATTTCGGTAGTCTGCCGCGTGCTGGCGCATATGCATGGGAACGCAAAATGGCATTCATTCATTCATTCATTCATTTATTTTTAACATGTAGTATTTACATATTTCCTGACCCCGCTGAGGCATTATCAGGAGAGAAACATTACAATAAATTTAAATTAACATTACAATATATNGCATATGCATGGGAACGCAAAATGGCAGTCACATCACAATAGAAGACGCGTGTATAGCAGTGGTTCTTAATTTCATCGAAAATGCACGTGGTCGGCAAAGTTTGAACGATCGCGCACAAAAGCAGCGATACCAAAGAAGATTGGAGAATGAGAACGAGACTCGCCTTGAGCGTCAAAGTGATTCTGCTTAATAGTGAGTCTCCGAGACATAGTCTTGTCCCAAATACGGTTTGCCGTTTTACTTGTCTTTTTATTATATTCTGAAGGAAATTTTGCATAATTTGACGGCCTCCCGGCAAACTTCTTATGGTTAAGAAACACTGGTGTATAGTATGGTATGGAAAGGTAAGGTATCCGAAATAGGAGTGTTATTCGTATGCAAAGAGATTTCCAGCGAGTTTACGAGTATCACTATACTCCGTTACATCAGGACATTATGAAATGATACCAGAGAATCCTGCAAGTCGGTCTGACTATGAATCACACCTAAGGAAAAATGTTTGATAGAGGAATAAGGAGAACGTTCAGCTGGCCATAATTCAGAGCTCAATAAAGTCACTGTGCTATTTGTCAGTCGAACAAGATATTCCGCGCAGCACATGTTAGAGACTGTGAATCAGTACTTAAAAATGGTTCCATATAACATGCAGCGACTGCAAACCTTGCAGCAAAGTGATTTTACGTGTCTGCCCGATATGAACAGTGCACCATCCTTCATGGCGATCATGTTGAGTGTTAAGAATGACACTAAAAACAAACCGACAACCTTACAACACATAAATTATGTAACATTTATTAAACCTCCTCTTCTTTATCTTCGCTTTTTCTCGTGTTTACATGGAGTCGGCGTTTCCTTCTGTAATACATATCCTCCATTTCTTCCTATCAAGGGCGTCTTCTCTCTTAAGTCTCCTCTGATTCAAGTCTTCCTCCACCTTATCTTTCCAACGCAGCCTTGGTCTTTCTCTCTTCCTCCTTCCTTTTACTACCAGTTTTCCGACCCTCTATGCAACATAATCTTCACTACTTCACTATTTATTAACCTCTAAATGCATTAATTTACAGGTATCCTTCATATGACACGTTTTCGCTCTAACACGGTTGGAAAATTGAGGCTGTCCCCGTAAAACACAGTTTCCGGTTTCGCTCTAATACGGTTCGATAATTCGGAAAATCATAAATTTCTGTACAAAATTTCAATTTTTAAGTGCAAACTCCGTTATTTCAGATATATGTATATATATATATGTATGTATATATATTTATTTATTTATTTATTTCATGCAAGCATTCAAATTTGCCCATGGATTTTGCAATATTGAAATTTTCAATTTGTTTTGTTCCTTTCGTCAGGTTTACTTCAATGAAAACTGATAGAAAAGTTAGGACAAAATAGAAAAAAACCGCACCATCAACCAGATATTGTTGACGTTGCTTTCACATATTAGCCTTTAAGACTGTCACTGTTCTGGTTTTATAGATTAATCTTCGTATTTAATAGTTTATTTAAACATTTTTAGGTAAGCGTTATTAAACTTTTTTAACCGTAGGTAAGTAATCATTAATAAAAATAACGTTCGAAATACAACGATATCTCGGTACTCGAACTGTTTCTAACTCGAACGATTCAGTATTCCAACACAAATTCTGAAGAAAATTCACTCGGTACTCGACTGAACAAACGAGGGCCCTCTAGATCAAATTTTCGATTAATAACATATTCTTATTTCGTCATCCATAAAAATTTTTTATGATAAAAATAAAAAAATATGAAAGTGTTGCTGATACTTCTGATCAAGATCAACAAAAAAGATGAGATGACGACGATACTTTTAAAAAGAAAACGCCCGTTTAACTGAAATTAATATTAACGCGTAAGACAGTAGTTTTAATTGTGACTTTTAGTTAATCATTGATTGGAATAAATTATTGGTTGCTTTAATAAACATATTTCTCTTAGCAAAAGTATACTATTTTTTTCCGTCATTAGCTTTTGGAACCTAATCCTATGTTTGGTATTAGTCCTTTTGTTTCATATAACACGGATTCGCATAAAACTGCAGTTTTTCTGAACGTAACTGTTATACGAGGGATACATGTATTTTCTACACTTTAATTTTATGACATCCCAAACGGATCGCCTATATATCAAACGCGTCAGTGCATCCAAATTCAGCTTATTTTAAAAGTTACCAAATATTTGTATTATCCAA